TGCCTCGACACTTTTGACACATTTGTTCTATTTGTTTGCTGCTTTTTGGGGATTATTCTTGTTTTGTTTTGTTACACAAAGCGCTATAGATTGACTCAAAACACTTTGGTATAGAAAAGGAATTCACAGTAGTATGCAAGGTATACAGCCGCAGTCCAAACCCCAATCATCAGTCCTCCACCGCCCTGCTTGTTGACCGATAGCATTATTCTTTTATCCATGCACTTAATTTGATTATTAGCAAGAGGAAACTCACTTTGATCTCCTCTGTCTGAAAGATATTGGCCCCGGTGGGTCATTGAAATCAACTTTATAAAACCAAATTATCCTCCAAAGCACAGATTTGACAAACAGTCAACTGTTCAAAATAATATCTTCAAGCTTTAAAAACATCCACAGCTCACAGCCTTGCTTCTACAATGCAGAACGGCTACTGTATTCTACCTAGACCAGTTATATTCTGGTCACTCCAAAAAAGCCAACTGTGGTGACCACTGCTTCTCAGGTCTCTGAAGTCATGCCAGCCCAAAGCAGCACCGCAACACCCAGTAGTTAGGGCAAAGCTTTAGAGGGTCACTGAGGACATGAAGGGTCCTGCGTCTAATTTCATCCATTTATGTCTGCTTTTATTTCTCCTCCGAAGTGGACATTAAGATTCTGAGGTTTTTTTTTTTTTTTTTGGTTTTCCTTGTACAATTTAAGAGGGGATTTTTCAATTTCTGAGACATTTATTTTGGACTGTATTTTTTGTGCGAAATAGGTACTACCCAAACATAGGAAGGCAATAAATGTCAATGGATTTTAAAGAATTCACAGAAGGCTGCCCCTGATGTATCATTTACTTCTTTTTTATTTTAAGATGGTAAAATATTTTCTCATCACACTTTCCAAAAATCTAGAAAGGTCAAGAGTTATATGTGTTGTTCGGTTCAAGTGGTAGATCAGGAAGGAAAGATCACTCATTTTACAAAGTTAGAAAAAAAAAACAAAGGTGGAAAATCTTCACATTAAAAAAAACGTGTGAAACATACTTTCCTGATTGAAAATCTTTAAACAGCCGCCATATTGATAAACGTTTATTTGCCCAATAAAGTCTCACTTTATTGGCTTTGATGAATTTAACATGATTACAGCTTTTCTGCTACAGAAAAATACTCTAAGAGATTCAAAGTTCCTGTCAGGGAAAAAAACAAAACAAAGGTCTTTTATCAAGAAGCGTACTTGTGCTTTTTCGTGTACTCGTGAAACGTCATCATCCTCAGCCCTAGTACTGTTCCAATTCACAACAACAGCAGACCGAGCACAGACAAAGTCCCCGGATTTTTTTTTCGCCCCTCCAACTTTACCCAGCGTGCATCAGAGCAGCTTTCAATGGAGCGCTCACAGAGCTCAGAGTATTAAGTTAGAAGTTCTCTTTTCTGTTGCTGTTGTTCAATAAAAGTACATTTTAAGATCATTTGAGGCAAGAATATTATATAATATATATCGTCACTATATGGCCCATTTACCGATTTAATGTGTAATTAAAAAAAAAAAGTTTTCCGATGTTGGGAGGACCGCGGCAACCAGTGGACCGCTGAGGGTAACGGCAGCTGGGGCTAAACGCAGCCCGCCTGCAGCAGCCCTCTCTCAGCATAGCCGTGTGTGAAGCACCACTGGCTCTGATGGTGAGGTTTTTGTATTATTTGGCAAAATGTTCATTTGATTTGTGTTTGTGTTATCTGACTGTGTTCATTATTATTCCCCCATTAAATGAAAAAAGTAAGAATTTATGATTATTTAGAGACTATTAATAACAGAAGGTAAAATGCAGCTTCAGACTAGTTGAGCGTGTGGTGATGTCACAATACGCTTCTGCTCTAATTGACCCATATTTATGCTGCGTGCTCCCGTTCTCCCCAAGTCTAGACTTTCCTGTGCTCTTCTCAAGAATATACTTGGCGACGACACAAGCCAGTACTCGTGTTCTTGTGTATTGAGAGATGGCTAGAAAAATTTAAGAGACAAGTCCTCCTTAAGACAGACGAAGATCCCTGTGGCTCTATATAGGCACTGAACAGACACTACATTTGGGTATCTAATTAATTTTGCATTTAGGCCAAAACATACCAGATGCCAAATCTTATAAAAGCCATTCTGATCCAAAATATTCACATATTCAGATCTCAGCTTCTGACTACTGACAGATAAAAGCTTAGAATTACTGGCTCCATGCATTAGCCTGGGTTATAATTATAATTTAGCAAAAAATTAATTCTGCCCTTTTTCTAAAATGTGATAAAAGCTTGATAAAAAGGCTGTTTTGATGCTCAGGCAGATGGAAAAAAAAAATAAAAAACAGGAGAAAAAGGCGTTAATAGAGGCACTCAAATAAAAAGAGGGAGAAAAAAAGTGTATTAATATCAGTGCAGCAGATTTAACAAACAGCGCTGACTTTATGAACGACAGAACATGACTGCGTATTCAAACATTGTGTTTGACAGATGTTTAAGAGGCTTTTGGTGGAAGGAAATGATGAGGAATGATGCTGTTGATCGCTAGAAGCCTGGCATTAGGCCTGCTTAGCTCATAAAAAAAGCTATTCAATTTCATGGCACTTGTTTTAATGGGACTGCTGTAGAAAACACTACATACACTGAACCCAATTGTGAGAGGAGTATGTGCAGTGGATCAATGCTCACTCCAGTTTTAAGTAGTTTACAGAAAAATACTGACAATACCATTATTAGCAGCGTCTCCTCATTACACAGGGTCCCTCCTTCAGCTGAACTTTAACTGTAAGGTAAAAGCTCTGGTAGCATAAGGAGACTAGTGCTTCCGGACTAAGCAGTGTGTGGATAATAAAATACAGGCAGCTAAATTGAATCAATTTTTGTCCGGCTGCAAAACAAGCTGCCACACTAGAATAAAGACAAACTGGAAATCCTCCTATGGTTATTTAAAAGCAGCAGCAGTGTGCATCTTGATGATTAATTTCCTATAGAGAAGCTCCTGCAGCTCGGTCGTATTGCACGGCTTTAGTTTATGTTTCCAGAGGAGTCCTTAAACCGTCATCCTCCCAACGCTCACCTTGATTTAGTGTGCCGACACCAGGCTCCAGCGCATAAGAGAGTATTTCTCTTTATTGTTTCCACAACTGTTTGTTTGTATGTAATAGAGGTGGAAGTAGAAGTGGAAATACAAGCCGCTTTCTCGGGAATATTTGGTGCTGCTGAGGGAACATCAAGATAAAAAAGATAAAGGATCAACGGTGAAGCAGGCTTTGCAATATGGCTAAAGATTAAATCACCATATAAGCCTTTAATATGAGTCATTTATTTGTTTACCTATTCATGAAGCAATACACAATAATTCCTTAAAATTCACCGGAGGGCGAAAAAAGAGCGGGGACCCAGGTGGAATCCCAGCGTTCTCGCGTATCTTGCTCTTCTAGCTGGTCCATCTTCACGAGTCGTTTTCCACAATCATAAAAACAAAACAAGCCGGTGAGGTACCAAAACATGAAATACGCTTATGTAGAGCAGATGTATATTTGACCAATCAGAGGCCTTTTGTCTGCGGCAATGTCTGCGGTCACCTATGATTTTGAAGAGGAGCAGCAGAGGGTCTGAGGAAGGGGTGGGAGAATATCTGCGTTCACTGCGACACACACAGAGACGACCTTATTTCTGAGTATAAACCAGCCTTTAGAGAGAGGTGTCGCTCCTTACACTTCTTCTCTTGGTCTACAGACTTGGTCAACGTCCCATATAGTAGATAAACTTCGCTTATTGCTCCTTAAAAGTATATGTTTGGGGGTAAAGGAGCCGGAATTCAGCCTGCAAACGCAACCCTATTTAATAGGGCATTGGCACTGCCCTCACGATTCGATTCGATTACGATTCACCAGGTAACGATTCGATTCAATTCGATTCTACGATGCATTGCGATGCATCAAAATCCCATTGACTTCGTAAAATCCGAAATGTGCCCAGATATCCGCTTTCCAAGCTTTTTGTGTGTTTTTAATTAGGCCTACCCGTTTATCACATTCATCTTCCTCCGCCTCAGCCATCTTGATTGTTGTTGGTATGCCCCCGGAAGTAATTGAAACTTCACAACTTGTCCATTTGAGGCCAGAAAATAAACAGTGACATAATTGATTAGGGCAAGTTGCCGCATCGATGCTGAATCGTGCATGCCCCGCATTGCAATGCATCGCTGAATCGATTATTGTTGACACCCTACTATTTAACCTTTAAATATTAGGTCGGCCCTCGTGACAACCTTGCTTAGCTTGGTGGTGAGAAGCTGATAGATTAAACCTTTCGTCTGCATATATCCCCCATAATGCCGTGTGGTTCTGGCATGCAGTTAGGTGAACCTATAAAATCTATTGGACTCCTTTCCTATTGATATTAATCAGGTGTCTATTGCATAACTGATCATATTTGTTGTATTAACTGAGCCCCAGAATAATGTTTAATAGTCATATTCATGATATGAGGCTTTTAAGGACTTTGAACAGCTTGAACTGCCAGAACATGGCATGAATGCAGGTGTTTTTCAAATTTTGCTGCTTTGGGATATTTGTGAAAAACTACTTTCAAAACAGTTTTTAGACTCATAAACTGCTAAGATTATCCTTCTGAAGGCTTCAGGTAGCTCAATCGATCTCACCATGATGTCCGATCATGCTTTTACACTATACACAGTAATAAATGTGTAAGTAAAGGGAATCCTGCATTTAAAGACTGGATAATGGGGAACTAACCATTTGGACCTTATGTAATTAACATCGTGTGATTCCATTTTAAGGAAGATTAAATATGGAGTATTCGCAATTTACTCCTCCAGAAATGGCAGGTTCATTGCATTTTCAAGATTTGTTGTTTAATTTTTACTCATATAACCGTTCTTTATATTATCTATATTACTAGGTTTATCTTTCATTGTTAAGATGATATTCCAATACTAAAGTGTCCAATGATGATAGACACTATTGAGTGGTGACCACTTACCTTGCAAACAGTTTCAGTATCCCAGGGCAGGATGGTCCTTAGATCGACGACCTCACAGGAAACCCCAAGTTTCTCTTGAGCCATGTTGGCCACCTCCCTTAACACATGGATCTAAATGGAAAAGGAAAGAGATAATATTAACTGCTGTTTTTTTTTTTGTCATTACAGTGTCACAAGTACAAAGCAAAGAAATTAAGTCTTTGCTTAAGCTAAATGCCCTAGCCACGAGGCCGCCACTCCCCAGTCCTGTTCACATTTGGACTGCGATCTAAAAGTAACGCTTTAGAGTGAGCCTGGTTCAATTTAACAATACTGAAAAAGATGGCTAATTATCCCACAGATGTTTACATTTTCCCTGTTCTGACAGATTTTTATACCCATGAAGCTCATAAGTTGATTAATTCAAATCTAATTTAGACCCATGAATGGTTAATGGTCTAAAATATATCAACACTCCAATATTCAGACTTGAAATAAGTGAGATCCTGTAGAGGTAAAAACGTATGTGCACCATAGACACTTTTCGCATATTATACCATATTTATCCTATTTTTCCATGGGACAAATTATTAGAATACCTTATTTTTTCTTGTGCATATGTGAATTTGTCTTTTGTTTTCATCAATTGATGCCAAACAAAAAATGTGCATATGTGGTCATGATGCAGTAATTCAGAAGAAAAAAAAAGAAAACCAAAATTGTCAGACATGTGTACAGGAAAGCTGGTTTAAAAATATGACCAAAGTATAAAAACATTATAGGATAATCAACATGTGTGCTGTAAAATTATAATTCTTATGTTAAAACAACACAACCAATAAATAAAGCAAATGTCTTCCTGAAAGCAGAATTAATACAATATAATGTTTTCTGTATTTTTATATGAAAAATATTTACTCTGTAATATTAAAATCTAAAATTTTGCAAAGCAATGTTTGGGATTTTAATAATCAAGCTAAACAACAACAACAACAACAAAAAATTTCCAAAAACAATTGTAAAAAAAAACATTTAAAGGTAAAAAATAAAATTTTTACAGATAAAAGTTATTTTTTGTTATTGTTCTTTTTACTAAGAGGTTTTTTTTTTTATTTCAAACTTCTTTTTTTTTTTTTCTTTCTTCCTCTAACAGATTTATTTTCCCACGGCATCAAATGTATTGCTCTATTTTGCATTGGGGTGGCCTCAGATGACAGGGTATGGAATTATCACTAACAGCCCAACACAGCTCCTGAACAGCCCATTCCCAGCTGTTGCATTCAGGTACAGTAGGAACTGAAAATGTCTGTAGAACATTGTCCATATTCCTTCTGTAAGTAACTTTTTTTGCAAAATGATGTGAAAAAGAGGCAGCTTACATGACTAGAAGATAACATAACATCCTGGCCGATTTGCAGAGCAGTACAATTCTGTGTTGGAGATTTCCCAAAAACCTTAATCGGTTACTGATGTGATTATATGTTTTATAATAGGTTTGAGAAAAAAAAAAATAATAATAAGAAAGGAGTGCAGTGGAGATAGCTTTTTTAATCAAACTGGCAGAAAGAAAAAATAATGTTAAAAAAGAAAATTAATCAGGATTACCCTTAACACTGCATCTGTTGACATGGCCCACCTATTACTATTGCACATATTTTTTTAACTCATCTTTCCAGCAAATGAACAAATTAAGACATTTCTGTTATTTGCTGTTGGATTATTACTTTTCTATGTCTTGGGCATTTCTAAAAGAAGAAATACAAAATAATTTTTTGTTTTTATCATCTTCTAAAACATCCCTGAAGAGAAACAGATCATTAATGGTCTTTAGCTGAGTAGGTTTACTAATGTGATGAGCTGGGTGTTTTCCTTTGGTTCTCTTCTGGTTCACTGTTCTGTACTATTTCTTTTAAAAATTGTGTGTGGGCTCTAATTTAAATTTTATAAGGAAAAAAGGTAAATATATATACATATATTTTTTAATTCCCTGTCATGCTTTGTATTGCTTTACAATACTGACTCTCTTTTCTGCCCAAACATGAGCAAAAAACCCTGAAGGCTTCAATGAAGACGTTTCACCTGAATGCCCTTAGACCTCCTGCCACCCTGCAGGTATATTACACCTGGGATTAACCGTAATAAGAAGTCTGGGCACAATTGATTGCATGGAGGATTCCTGTTGAGCTACAGTCCTTTTTATAACAGGCTGCAGGAAATTAAACCTCTTTGGTAAAAAGAGAAGAAATAATAAAAGGAGCAAATCAGAACCCACAGTGTTAAAACGTTGGGTTTTAATAGGTGCATTGATGCTTTGTGGATTGCACTGTGGACCCAGTCTAAGACTGCTAGCTGAGAAACCTTGCTGTGAAAACAGGGCTTTGTGATGGACTTATATTAATCCACTAGTAGCCTTTGTTGCCTTACATGACATTTAATGGAAAAAGGACATGACTCCAATGATCATGAAATTACTAAAAACAGATCACTAATTGTAGACATATGATCAATTCATGACCGACTATTAATAGTTTATTAGATTAAAGTGTATTCTATCAGATTAATCAATAGTCTGAATTACTATTAATATATTAATTTATCAAATAATTATTATTAATACAATATTATTAAGTGAATTACTTTAACAGTTGGACCATTATCCTCTAGAGGGCGCTGCTGCTCATTCTTGAAGTTGTAGGGAAACGGCTGTTCCAACCATTTCCCCCGAATTCTCCTGAGTGGTGCACGACTTTACACGAGTGAATAAAGTGAATGTGATTGGTCGTTTATCATGAGGGCGGGATTGTTGTGGTGGAAGATTCACAAGCCAGTTTGGTTGTGGCCAGTATCTATGAAGCATCTTGCTAACCAGTTAGCAACTTAGTGCTAGTAGGTTCACAATGGGAAATTCCATTGGGACCAAGTAGCACTAAATTGGTGACTTAGAAACAACACTGTCAAGGAACGCTATGGACAGAGGAAACATGCAAGAGGAGGAGAGTTTAGTGTCGGAGGTCGTGGATGAGTCTCCTCCGTTATACATTTTTCATTTAGAGGAGGAAAGCGGGGACGAAGATGTTGTGGAAGAGGACGCCAGGGCGGCAGAAGCTTGGTTTGGTGTAGAAGGCTTCCAGCCGTACATGTTTGAGCCCTTGCCTCCCAACGCTGGCAGTTCTGTTAGCTCTACGCCTGCTGAAGACACAGACGTCCATCCCCGTGAACACTAGGATGGAACTCAAAGGGAAAGTAAATTAAATTGTTCTTATTTCTTATTTCAACTGATGCTATAACCGAAAAAATTTGATTGACAGCTGAATGTTTATATATGATTAGCCGAATTTAGGTGTACAAGCTGACGTATAACTAACTGGCCTGCATAAGATAACGGAATTTTTAAAGGATTTTTTAAAAATAGAAATGTTCTAACTTTTGGGACAATATCGTCTGATAAAGAGTACATTTATACACATGTTTAAGCCAGAATTATTTGACATTTAAATATGATTTCCCTACGACTTTAAACAGAGCCTTTTGAGAGAGAAGTAATACCACAGTGGAGGCATGTTAATACAGAAACATGAAACGATCCAGCGTCCAGATTATTTACACTTCTTAATGGCGACACAGGTGCAGAATGTACTTTTTAATCACAAACAATTATTAACTACATAAGTTATCACCTAATTGGTGTGTAGCAGCATCAACTTCTCTGCTGTGTTTGAAATGTGAGGATATAATGATGAAAAGTGGAGTGCGTTATGCCAAACGTTAGTAACATGACAGAAAAAGACATGCTGGCAATAAGCACGGTAGATGGGGAAGGCCTTTGTGTGTTAATGCATCTTTCTTATCTTACAAATAGGTCTAGTTTAATAATGTGTAAGATAGATTCTTTGGTTTATTTGTGTTTAATACAAATGGCTCAATACAAATATCGACTTTTTTCCCTTCATGTAAAGGAAAAATCTGATTAATACAAGAGAAAACTCAGGTTTTCAAAGAAAATGGATGCTTATCAATGACTCGTTACTCGATTGATAAGATCAATCAACTTTAGCTTAATTCATTAACCCATCATTCATTCAGTCGGCACACATTGTCGATATCGCATACCTGTGTCCCCCAGGCAACCAGTGTGACATCACTTCCTTCCTGTAGGACCTCAGCTTGCGAGAGAGGGATGGTGTAGGCGTCGACTGGAACCTGCTCCACTAAGGAAACAGACAAAAAACACTATATGCAAACTCACATTTAAAAGAAATCATGGCGATGGTTCAAAGCACACATTCATCTTTCTACTATGAACCCTGTGATTTCTATGCAAAATACTTTGAACCCCAAACTGAAGCAAACCCTAAATAATAGACCAGATGACAAAGTGGTGAAATATGAGACCATCAATTAAATGACAGAAGTCTTGCTCTTGAACTTTTTATCTGGACAGTTTCAAATGCTGCTTAAAGCATTTTCCAGAAACTCTTCGCTCATGAGAGGCAGAGTGCTTTTATGAGCACCATCTACTACATGATCCAATCTGATCTGCTTCCAGCTTCAGGCCCATAACTGATTAATCTTCACCACAACACATTCATGGGATGAGGTAAAGAAAACGAGGGCCACAGAAAAACAAAGAATCAGTCCAAAAGGGGAAGCCTGCTGGTAAGTCCCTCTGAACTTAAACCAACACAAAGTACATGTGGGTTTACGGTTTAAATCAAAACAAGCTTTTAAAAAGCAAACAAAAAACAAATAAAACTAGGGTTGAAACAATTAACTGGATTAAACTATTATTGAAATAATCGTCAACTGGAGTATAGAGACTCTAAAACATTCTTTTAGCTGACAGGGCAACACACTTAGAGCAATAATTAAAATCCGTCTATATGTTCTATCAAGAACTCCACATTGTTCTGTAAAGATAATTCATCTTTAAAGAACCTTTTATCTGATTATTAAGTGAAACATTAATTGTCAAATGAATTGATTAGCAAAATAATTGTTAGTTGCAGCCGTAAAGAAAACCTTAGCGCAAGGACGAATAAACTATCCTTGCAATCATAAACCATTTTACACCATTTTCTCTCTGAAAAAACTTTGAGATGATTCTTTAAAAATGTCTAATCAGAGGTTTGGACAAGGACAGGGGGCCTTGAGGACCGAGTATGGGGATGCCTGGGTTAGTGGATAAGGAATGAAAACAATAAAAGTGCTAAAATCCAAAGTTGCTCTAAATTGAGATTAAAGATATATTTGTACAAAGTGGCCTTTGATTGTGCTATCTAAACAATATCAGTGCGTAGTCAAATTTTTCTTTAACTTTCTTATCTTCTTTTATTATAATATTCATGGCTTATGCTCTTATTTGAATTATTCGTTTTATTCTTTTTATATATTTTCGTGATTTATTTACCCATCTACAAATATACCCGTCTGTATGCAAATACAATTCAGTTTCCCTATTATTTTTCTCTTTCTTCATGTACAGCACTTTAAATTGTCTTGCTACTGAAATGTGCGATATAAATTAAATTCCTTTTTCTTAAAAAAAAATTATATAGAACCTTATAATAATAATAATAATAATTGTACAGGGTTTATACAGGAATAAACAACTCTAACTTAAGGCTTTTTAATGCTCTTAGAAATAATTTTAATGCCACCCACAAAACCCATCGGCAGGCTGCAGCCATGTTTCCAATCCCACGTTTTCCAGCCACTTTTGTTGAAACTGGCATTTTTCCCCCCATCCTCTAGCTTTTTCTGAACATACAGCTTTGCGATCAACTGGAAGCAGTTCCACACAAATATATTGTGATATATGTTTGACGAAATTTTTTTTATAAAATTTTTTTTAAAAGAATGCATTTTAAATGCCACTATAAACACATTTAATGAATTGTAATGCCAATTAAGGCCTTAATTTAAAAAATAATCATTTAATGGAAACCCTGTTGTAATCTTCCGAATCAGTAAAAATAGTTATGTTCCAAAAGCTAAGCACATTACCTACATTATGGGCCGGATCTATCAAAGGTTTGCGTGTATAAAAACGTTAGCTATTTCACTGCGCACGCTAAAAAATGTACAAACTGATCTATCAACAGCGTGCTAAAAGGATTTGGTCTTTAAAACGTGCTAAATAGCGCCTCTTATCCATTTAGTACTTTTTCTGCAATGAATATGCAATATGGGGCGTTTACACGCAAAAGTGCGTCTTGTGGGAGGAGAACATGTAAATATATTAATTTAGCACTCGCAAAGTGATTTATTAAACATGAAAGCAATTTTGCTAACGGTATCTGACTCTATATTTAACACGTTTCAAAAGAAGGTGCAAATGGTCTGTATGCGTAATTGCGCACACAGGGCAGCGGTTATTGCCGCAAGAAGGAGACATCGAAATGAAGCAAGGAGACGCAGAGAACGCATTTTTTCACTCCGTGTGAATATTTTTGCAATGAACGAGGAAACAATCATCAAAACATTTAGTTTATCCAGCATTTTTTTTTTTGGAGGGGATGGGGGTGTCACTGTAAGATTTAAATTTCTTAATGCACTAGTTTGTAGAAACTACAAACTACTTTGCCGCAAACCACAAAAAGCGCAAAACCTTCTTTTAAATAGGGCGTCTCCAACAGTTTTGCACCCTCCACCAGTTACGCAATCACTCTTGTTAAATCACCCGCAAACCATGGTTCAGCACCTCGCGCAAAATTCCAGTTTGCGAGCGCAAATTACTGCACGCAAAATTGGATCTTGATAAATCCGGCCCTATGTGACTATTAAACACTTAACATGACAAGCTGGGTATGAATTTTGATCTAGATGTCTTGCCATACTTGATTTAAGTTTCCAGACATAGTGTAAATATGCCAGGTGTGGAAATGATCAATTCCAGAATGCAGAAGCTATTTGACAAACATCTTGTCACAAACTTGTAGAAATGTATTAAATCTGCTGCATTCTGTAAAAAAGAAAAGCAAAACATTATTCCTGTTGTACTATGCTGCAACTCCCAAAGAGGATATTAAACTCTAAAGAGAAACGGATTCAAATAAAGCCACTCTCAGTAATTCAGACACCTGCTCCCTTCTGCTCTGGTTACCTACCTCTCTCTGTGTGTGAGGCTGGTTTAGCTCCCTCTCAGCCACTAGATCCCACAGTGCTTTCAAAACATAAAGATAACCTCACACAGATATTAAGGACATCAATAATTAAAACTGTACATCAGGTCTGCAGCAGAACTATACAGCGTGAACTACACTGGAGAAATGAAGAAAAAACATCCAGTGCTGGGAAAATGTCTGTTTGACTGTGAAATTGTAAACCCCAAACAAATGACCTCCAGCTGTCCCCACTCTTGCCATCATGTACGATAACAATTACTTGTCTCCCTTTTAATCATCCAAGAAACAAGCTTGAGTGCAATACACAAGTCCTTACAGGTAATGTTAATGTAAAAGAAAACTACAACCATATGTACTTAAAGTTGGCAATTTAACAGCAAAATGTTAAATTTTAAAATTTGCTGATCAGAAGTAAATTCCCATCAAGCCCCAGCTGATATGTCACAGATGCAAACAAGCGTCTGTGACAAATACAGGTGCTGGTCATAAAATTAGAATATCATGAAAAAGTAGATTGATTTCAGTAATTCCATTTAAAAAGTGAAACTTGTATATTATATTCATACATTACATACAAACTCATATATTTCAGATGTTTATTTTGTTTAATTTTGATGATTACAAATGACAACAAATGAAAATCTCAAATTCATCATATCAGAAAATTAGAATATTACTGAAGACCAATAAAAACAAAGGATTTATAGAAATGTTGGCCAACTGAAAAGTATGAACATGAAAAGTATGAGCATGTACAGCACTCAGTATTTAGTTGGGCCTCCTTTGGCCTGTATTACTGCAGCAATGCGGCGTGGCATGGAGTCGATCAGTCTGTGGCACTGCTCAGGTGTTATGATAGCCCAGGTTGCTCTAATAGTGGCTTTTAGCTCTTCTGAATTGTTGGGTCTGGTGTATTGCATCTTCTTCTTCACAATACCCCATAGATTTTCTATGGGGTTAAGGTCAGGAGAGTTTGCTGGCCAATTAAGAACAGGGATACCATGGTCCTTCAACCAGGTACTGGTAGCTTTGGCACTGTGTGCAGGTGCCAAGTCCTGTTGGAAAATGAAATCTGCATCTCCAAAAAGTTGGTCAGCTGCAGGAAGCATGAAGTGCTCTAAAACTTCCTGGTATGTGGCTGCGTTGACCCTGGACCTCAGAAAACACAATGGACCAACACCAGCAGATGACATGGCACCCCAAACCATCACTGACTGTGGAAACTTTACACTGGACTTCAAGCAACGTGGATGAAGTGCCTCTCTTCTTTTCCTCCAGACTCTGGGACCTTGATTTCCAAAGGAAATGCAAAATTTACTTTCATCAGAGAACATGACTTTGGACCACTCACCAGCAGTCCAGTCCTGTTTCTCTTTAGCCCAGGCAAGACGCTTCTGACGCTGTCTGTGGTTCAAGAGTGGCTTGACACAAGGAATGCGACAGCAGAAACCCATGTCTTTCATACGTCTGTGTGTGGTGGTTCTTGAAGCACTCACTCCAGCTGCAGTCCACTCTTTGTGAATCTCCCCCACATTTTTGAAGGGGTTTTGTTTCACAATCCTCTCCAGGGTGCGGTTATCTCTCTTGCTTGTACACTTTTTTCGACCACATCTTTTCCTTCCCTTCGCCTCTCTATTAATGTGCTTGGACACTGAGCTCTGTGAACAGCCAGCCTCTTTAGCGATGACCTTTTGTGTCTTGCCCTCCTTGTGCAAGGTGTCGATAGACGTCTTTTGGACAACTGTCAAGTCAGCAGTCTTCCCCATGATTGTGTAGCCTATAGAACTAGACTGAAAGACCATTTAAAGGCTTTTGCAGGTGGTTTGAGTTACTTAGCTGATTAGAGTGTGGCACCAGGGGGCATCAATTTTGAACCTTTTCACAATATTCTAATTTTCTGATATGATGAATTTGAGATTTTCATTTGTTGTCATTTGTAATCATCAAAATTAAACAAAATAAACATCTGAAATATATGAGTTTGTATGTAATGTATGAATATAATATACAAGTTTCACTTTTTAAATGGAATTACTGAAATCAATCTACTTTTTCATGATATTCTAATTTTATGACCAGCACCTGTAGTTGGGGCTGCCAACTTTTTGGTTCGTATTGACCGTGTAGGTCAGAGGTCACGGCTTAGCGGACCAGGAGCTGGATTCGGACCCACCTACTGGCTAATCCAGACCCAACCTGATTTAAAACATTTATAAATTACAGCATGTTGTCCGACGACAGTCTCTAACTTTACTTGTGCTACTTCTCCTGTTAATATAGTAAAGCCTTCCAGAGCACCGGGACCAGGCCGCACGAGATACAAATTAGCCAATGAGCTGCTTTCAGCCTGAGTTGCTGCTGCTGCTGCTACTTTTAGCCACAGCAGGCAAACCTGTGGCAAGCCGTGCGATGGGAAAGAAGGAGAAGAAGATGAGAAAATGAAAGCAGAGAAAGTGTGGACTGCTGAAGGAACTGCAGTGAACTGGTAAAAGAAAAGGAAAATGGTGCTCATAAGGTGACCCTGCACATTTAGAGTATGTTTGGCTCAACCTGCTGCTGTTAAGCAGGATTCTCCGCCATGAACAGAATTAAAAACAAATATGGATCCAGTCTCAGAATGAGCTCCTTGATATGTGCTTGAGAATGGCTTTGTCTCCATTCAAACCCAGGTTTAAAGCCTTGCAGGGCAGCATAAAGCCCACTGCCAGTAAAAAAAAAAAAAAAAAAAAACAGTCAGTTCAGGTGTTTTATAAAATATGTGAATCAGGGAATTCTCTATAAACCAAACTAAATGATTGCTGTTCTCTACTTTAAAAAACACTTTATTTTTCTATTTTCTATTTTTTTTTATATATCTTTTTTTATTTGAAAATTCAATGTATAACATGGATGCATAAAACCTAATTTTATTTCAGTGTTAAATTCTTTTTAAAGTAACAGATTATTAATAAAAATGTCTCCGGACCTTCACTGGTGTTTCATTTTCTTTATTTGGACCCCGCTGATTTTTAATTGGTTACCCCTGGTGTAGGAGCTTAAGCTTTTAAAACTCCAACAACTGGCTGCCATGATACATTTTCATTCTTTAAAAAGGTGTTTTTTAATGACATCCATAGTAATCTGATTGTCTTACCAGTTTTAGCTGACACCATTCGTCTCGCCTTAGAAATCGGGCTCTTCTAGCTCCTTTCTGGACTAATATTCCAAGTATATGTCTGTGTCTGAATGTTCACACTATACACCGTTATAGAGCACTATATAGGGTCACGCCATTTTGAAGGAGTGTCTGAATGTCTAGCGGATGGAAAAAATAGTGGGAGCAAAATTTCTCACAATGCAGGGTGTGGTGTTGGTCCAGGGAGTAAGCGTGCAACCCATGAATAGAGGCTGTGGTCCTCTATGTAGAATGGTGACCTTTGCCGAATGTCTTTCCCCTCTCTCTATTCTCATTTTCTGTCTGCCTCATTTCAAAAATAACAAACATAAGGGCCTAAAACAGTTATATTTTAAAAATCCCCACAATGCAGTTTGAAAAAGTACAATGCACATCAATGGTTAAAAACTGTGGAAGCCTGTCCTAACAGTTGGTTAATTGAGTGCACTTAAGTCCACTATATAGTCCCCGCTCTATATAGTGATTTTAAAATTGGGGCGGACATTCCAGAGAAGAGAAGCAGGTCTCTAGCAGCTCTGCTCCTCATCTCTGGAACACACCTAGACAGGCAGGAGGTGCATTGAGATGGATGGGGGAGGAGGATCTAAGTGAACAAGAGTCAAACCTCAAGTCACCCACCAAAACCCACTTCACCTGTTCTCTCTTCTGCCATTGGCTGAAAGGATATCACAAACAAGAGGCACACACATCCGCCGTCACAGATCCTTCCCCCCGGAAGCTGTAAGACTTTATAACCACCACTGTTCCAAACATTTTGCAGTTTCTATCTAAGTCAACTAAATAACATGCTGCTGTCATTTTGCACATCTCTAATGTTGCTGCTATTTTCAAATATCCATCACTGTAAAAATGTCCATAGCTGTGTATTAGTTATTTATTCTCCAGTTGCACAGTTTTATTTTGTTAAAAAATTTACAGTACAGTATTTTATTGTTTATCTTTTAACTGTTCATTATTATGTTATTCTTATAGATTTTTCTAAGGTCCACATTTGTGTGACAATTTTTTCTAAAATCTTTTTGCTGCTGTAAAAATCTGAATTTCCCCATTGTGGGACAATAAAGGGATTTTCTATTATATTCTATAACAATCCTCATGTAGCTACAGCAACAGTTCTTCATTAGTTAAAAACAAGCAGGGATTTATTAAAAGATGTGTCAAAATTGGCTTTTTACACAGAGTTCCCAGCAAACAAAAACAGAAGACTTCTTCTTTACAATCTAGATTGTCTGGTTGAAGTCATGCAGATTTCACTGATGTCCTTTGCAGTGAAGTGTACTGTTTTGTCTTGTCTCACACATGTAAACCAACGTTTTAGATTGACTGATACACAGAATCACACGAGAACAGACAGCTCATTGTTCCCCCCATTCACAGGGTCTCTGGTTCTGATATAATCCTGATTTGTTAATTAGATCTTTGCATAACTTTGTGTTATGTATAAAGGTTATGCCAGAGATGGTGTTGGTGAAAGCATCTGGGAAGCTCAGATGTGTTCTTTTAATGTGATCCTGTATGGTATCCACCATCAGTGCAACTGATGCAATGCAATGCAATTAATGCAAAAATATGTTTAAATCTGGAATGAAAATTAAACAGGCTTACCTGCTGCTCTGTAAAGAATCTTGGGCTCAAAGAATATACATGGGTTGTTATCAGCAATGCATGAAAGCAGCAGCCCTTTAGCCTGCGTCGGACCACGAGGTATTACAATCTGAGGAGAAAATAACAAATGACATTTAAACTCTATAAAAATTAAATACAAAAGCAAACTTCTATTTTGATTTGTTGATCTTTTAAAGTGTAAATATCCTAAATGTGACGTTACTGAAAAAGCTTTCCGCATTAAAACAGTGACCTGATAACAGCAATTATGATGAACAGCAGTACAGCAAATGTAACTGGATCCATAAACACATTTTCCTCTTCTGATATTTATTGGTCTTAAGTTTCTTCCAAAAATCCTCATAAACCTGCATATAAGCTTCTGCCTTGTCCTGAAGATAAACTTTTATCACCTTCTGTTCTCTCTGCTATAATTGTGAGGTTATATTCAGACAGGAAACCCTATAATGAAAAGAGAGGGAGAAATGGATTGGTTCTTGATAAGCTTTGTGTCAAATGGAGGAACTATTAATGATAGCGTGCATGAGGATTAGCATTCAGCTGTATGACCTTTGCAGAGTAACATAATAGCTGCTGCTCCCTCAGTAACAGGCAGGTCTATAATCCATTTTCTGTGCAGATCTGTAAGGTGAAACTGAAAGGAAACAATTCTGATATTAACCATCAGTCTTTATTGGGTTTAAATTCTTTTAATAAAGTAGGGTAGAAAAGTTGGGTTGGTGAAACTAAAATAAGTCATTACTTTTAAATTAGAGGCACTATTGTATTCTATGTGAAAGTCTCCTAACATGTTGCGTGACTTTACAGTGACATCTTAGACAGAGATGATTCATATCTCTGGATAATGATTTTTCTTTAGCCAACAACTCTCTGAACTGACAAACAACAAGCCAGTTCTCATAATAATTTGCCTGCTTAGAAACTTCTCAGTGTTGCTTTGTAAATATTTTGATTTCTCCTGTCCTGTTTAAGCGACATGTGGGACTGTCTACGATTGTCTGAATCAGCCAAAGGGAAAACACTAAGACATTCTGTAGAAGACTCTCTCTTGTAAAGGATTAGTTTAGTAAACCTCATTAAGGGATTTCCTGCTTCAGCAGTCCTTGGTTATTATATATTTTTTCGACGTTGTTTTTAATTATTTTTTATATACCGTATTTTTTGGACTATACGTCGCTGCGGAGTTTAAGTCGCATCAGCTAAAAAATGCATTATCAAGACGAAAAAAACATATATACATCACACAGGACTAAAAGTTGCACCTTTTTGAAGGATTATTCTATCCATGGAATCAGTGTTCTGATAACTGCCGCGTGGTAGGCTACTGCTCGAAGACGGCATTGTTTTATTTCATGAATGAGCATTTAAGAAGCAGTGATAACGCACCAGTATCCTATTCTGGTTGTTTTAAATATCACAGTTCTCTGTACAGCTCTTCCTCTGGACGTGGCCATCTAGCCTTTAGCCCTCGGTTAGCTTTTCTTTTTTTTTCATAACCTGCAACTATTCCTCTACTTTTCTCTGGTCCCTAACCTGTTTTTCACTGCATCCAAACTGTCGCTCAGCTGCCCTATTGACATTTTCAACTGTATATTTAATTACTTTCAGTTTGAATTCAGCAGTTTATGAATTTCTTTTGGGTGGCATATTTCTATTCATACATTGTTGTTGTAATGCTAATTTGTTTTGTTGTGGTAAGTTGTAACGTTTTTTTCCTTCAGTGGTATTAATAGAATACATGTTTTTGCATGCAAAGTTACATAGCGCCCTCTCGTGGTGAAAAAAACGCATGTGTCGCAACAGAGTATAGGTCACACGGCCAGCCAAACCAAAAAACCAAACCAAAAAAGTGTGACTTATGGTCCGAAAAATATGGTAAGAAAAATCCATAATAATATAGCAAAACAATTCCTTCGTGTTTTGACGCTGAGCTTCTTGTCCTGGAGATGCAAAAGTATCCTTCCCATCAACCTCATCTGTTAACTGGCAAACAAAATGAATTTTCGCGAGATTTGTGAATGAACAAACTCCTGAAAATACATCTTGCCAGCAGCTAAAGGAAAACGAACATTGCTGGCTGGTTTTAGCAGGAATGCCCTCCATTTCTTTTTTAAAATGAGCAGCAAGACTTGACTTTTTAACTCTGTGGGTGGGAAGACAGTTGCACGTTCCCCCCGACTAGATTTATCAGTTAATTTAAATAAAGGCACTACTGCTGCCAGGGTTCCTACAGCATAAGGCAAGTTAAATTCAAGACTTTTTAATGCCACTTGAAATAAAAATTTAAGACCAAATTTACAAGAAACACAAGAAAAACCCTCTTGCGACAACTTTACCCAAAGGTTTATTATAACATAAACCACTGCACTAATGTTTCAAATTGTGAAAAGCTTCCCATACAGGAAGAAAGCTGAAAACACACAAATGACAGATATATTTTAACAATTATTTACCTGAATTCACAAACTTTGTTTTAGCAGAGAACAAAACAAATCAGTCTTAAAGCCACAACATAACCAGTGCTAAGTCTTTTTTGCAACTATTTTCCTTTGTATCATTTTCTTAGTATGTTTGATTTGGTGATAAGTGGAGGCGTTGCAGAGACAAGGGTGGAACAAAACTGAGAAATACCGGCTGTTTCTCGGTAACTCGATTTTGACGCTTTGTGTTTCGGGCTTCGCATGTGCGACTCCACTGCCTTAATTCCCATCGTTCTGAGCTTGAATGACTTCTTGCACAAAATACACTGAGCCTCATGTATGTTCCCTGGTTTTAGCCATGGAGAAAACTCTTGGCTGGATAGACAATTTTCGTTACATTTACACTTGCTCATATTTTCCAGACAAAAAGTTAATGGTGCATTTCCCAAATGTCCCGGCCGCAACAACGCTTTTATTGGTTCCGCTATCGGGACGGAACCAATAATAGTTATTTATTTTTTTTATGAAAAAAGAAAAAAAAATAGTAAATTTTAACGTTTTATTTAGATTAAAACAATAAATCGTAATTAAAAATAATCTTATTTATGATGTTTTAAAAATTAAGACCTAAGAAAGACTGATTTAAAGGAATAGTACACCCAAAACATGATTAGCCTTCATTTTCTACTCACCCCCATGCTGAACAACACTCTGGAGAGATGAAAGTGCGCATTCAGCTCGGCAAAGAACTCATGCTCTTCCTCGACACTGAAGTCCTCAGACATTTTTCTTTCGTTGTTTCTTTCTTTGTACAGGTAAACAGCACATTTCTTCTTCTACGCTTGCATTATCGGCAGAGCAGACGCTGAATGCGCACTTTCATCTGGTTTGGTCTGCCGCGGTTTCCGTAGACTCGTGAACGCGCTTTTAGGAAATCCTATACACTACTGTTTATGCTCTAAAAACATTCTAAATGACTTTGTTTCGAGTAAATTATGGACGCTACCCACTCAGGACACTTGGAATACATTGGACGAGCAGTATGGAGGAATATTGACACGTTTTTTGTGGACTTTTATGGACCTTTCTGCCTCAGGCGCTATGGACCTCCATTATTTGGATGTCAGCAGACAGCAAGAAGCCTCCCAGATCTCCAGATGCATTTGAGATATCAAAAAAGTACTCCAGGGTGTTGTTCAGCATGGGGGTGAGTAGAAAATGAAGGCTAATCATGTTTTGGGTGTACTATTCCTTTAAGACATTTTAATACCAATTAAGGCCTTAGTTTTATTTTGAAGAATTCAATGCCTTTTAAGACTTTTTAAGGAGCCGCGGGAACCCTGGCTGCTCTGATTGGCCAAAAGCTCAACATGGGAGGCAGGTACCCAATCAGCTTGAAGCATTGTACTGAATGTCCCTCCCTTTTCTGAACACTTCCTAGATGAGGTTCCCGGATAAAAACCTGTATTTCAATTTGAATTCTACATGCTGTCAATCTTGTGCCAACTTACCTTATCTGTAAATTCCCCCTGAGTCTCTATTAGATTAAAGTCAGGCTCTTGTTGAGTCACACCAAAATGTTAATATTACTTGCATTTAAAACAAAAATATTGGTTAAAAAGGGTCAAATCTAAATATGTCAGGTTGTGTACCTATTTCTGCTAGATAAACATACATCTTTGAAGAAATTGTAGTAACATTATTGTTGAATTACAGGAGAAAACAAAACTTAATTTGGCAGCATCTCGTTTCGGCAGCGTCAGTGTAAGATATAAGTAAAGGTCACAGGAAGGTGCATCATTCAAATAGGAACAGACAAGTTTTGGCCGAACAAAACCCAGAAGTCAGCTTGAACCTGACAATAGGACATCAGCTGAGAATCAGCTGGGTTTATTGCTCTTCTCACTGAGCATCCCAGTTACTAAAATCTACATGAGATGTGGGAATCAATCAAGGGCAGAGAAAATTAATCCAACTGGAAACTAATTCTTAGTTTGCAGGGTCTAAATTCAGTGCATATGGAATACATTAACTTGCATCCAAGACCCATTTTTAGCAATTTTATGCTTATTGATACTGTGTCTGCAATTGTGATTCAATATATTGTGCAGCTCTAGCCAGTATAGTAGTCTAGTATGAATAATTTAGGCTTTACACTATTTGATCAAGAGTAATTCAAATAACACAAGACACCTCTGCCTGGCAGTTTTCCATCTGTTTCTGGGAAAAGTCATCAAATGATTGCGTTTCCATGACAATTTCTAACCAAACCCAGAATGTTGTTCAAAAGACTTTGCAATATCTTTTTTTCCCCCTTTTATTTTACCAATAATAAACATAAAACTCACCTTAATACCAGGACAGTGGGCGAAAAAGGCTTCAGGGCTTTGAGAATGGTACAAGGAACCGTGGCCAACACAGCCCCATGGAGCCCGAATGGTGAGGTTCCCGCAGTCAAACAGGTTCCCAGAACGGTAGCGGTACTTAGCAGCTTCATTTACAATCTGCAAACACAATAAATTACACCAATACAACTAATGTCAATATTCACACATGTGGCTTGAGAGTGTATTTTATAAAAGATGTTGCTTTTTATTATTGAGACTCCGTTAACATTTATACCGATCTCTAAAACACTCTTAACCCATTTAGGCCGGGAAAGCATTACCGCATTTCTACCATTCAAGCCGGGGGCGCTGTTGCGTCATTCTACCATTGACGCCGGGAGAGCATATAAGTCAAGCAAGAAGAAAGAAGTTTTTTTCAAGCAAACATGGAGGAGTTTGACAGAGAAGAGTTGTCGGAAGGCAGTGATTTTGAGGAGTGTGTCGGCTTTGATGACGGTATAGATGAAAATGATGACTTTGAACGCGCTGAACCAATCGAACTACCACCGCAATGCACGGAGTGTTTTCAACCGCACACCTGGAGTGAAAGTTGATTTGCCTGCAGACGCCACACCGCTGCAGGCATTTGAGCATATTTTTAATGAAGAACTTTGGATGCATCTAGTTACCGAGACGAATAGGTACAGTGACCAAACAAACCAAACTCCAACAAGAGCAAAGATGGCAAAGTGGTCACCCGTGACTGTGACGGAGATGAAGACATTTATTGGGCTGTGTATGTAAACCTCTCTTCAGGACGCAGTTCCCCCAAAATATGTCCCGGGACAGATTTGTGGCCATCTGGAGGTAGGTTGTATGCAATTTATAACACAGACATATGCATTATTATGCATAATAATACTGTTAATAAGTAATCATCAGATAGTTATTTATGTAATGTTTGTTCTTTATTTTGAAAACGTTTTATATTGCACATTCTCAATGAAGACATGATCACATATGGAAAAAATAAAAGGTTGAATTTTTTTTTTTTTGATTACTGCTTTTCACATTTTTTTTTGGAAGAATTTCAAAGATAAAATATATTTTGAGTTCTATCTGCTACAGAAGCTGAGATATCAATAATTTAGGCGTTGACACAGTTGCTGAATTTACAGAAAAACTTCAGGTTTTAGGGGTATTTTTTAAAATCGGCCATAGGTTTTTAAGGTGTTTTTTCCAGGCGTTTTAGGCCTAAATGGGTTAATAGTCACAGGAAAAAAGGCCCAAGAGTGACAATAGCACCGTGTACAACATTTCTACACGTTGAATCAATCTGTTCAGGATCTAAAAGTCTAACCAAACATTAATTTGCTGGTGAGGTAGCACCTGTTTTCCCTTTAAAGGCTTAATGTTTGTACTTGAACTTTGCTTTTAGCAGACTATTGTGAGCTGTGAGACGAAGTGTTTTCACATGTGCAAAGTTGCTCCTTTTACCGCTCACAGGCAGTTGAGCTGGATGCCAAGAAAATTAAAGGCACTTTGGTGAGCTTCAATAAAATATACAGAGTAACAAACTGTATTTGGTTCAGTTTTAATTCAAAGATTAGGTTCCTTTCAAATAAAATGTAATTCAGTGTTTGACCTTCCTAAACTTTATTCAAATCAACTATTCCAGGTCCTACAGTATTTTGTGCTTTGTTAGCATGTCCATTGAATAAGAAATATATTCACAATGTGATATTTTTTTCTAAACAAGAGATAATATTTGCTGAAATGTCTATTTCCAGCCAAGAAAGAAGATTAAAAAGAAAAATAAAATTTTGCAGTCAACTTGCAGATTGATAGCAGTTGAAGTTTGGATGTTTTTTATACATAGCCGGTTCTAGGCAGGGGCCAACAGGGGCCAGACCTGTACTTAAAACATACACTAGGAAAAATTACATATAAGCGAACTTTCTTGAAAAAGATGTCAATTTAACCTCAATTTGAGCAGGTAGGTAAGACAATTTACTAATGTAATAAGATCATTTCAATATAAAATAAAAATCTGTCTTCTTATTTAAAGTAGTTTATATGTAATTATCTCATTTTGAGGGAAAAATACAATTTTCTTTGGCAATCATCTCATTTGAAGAAGTTTTTGCATTTTAGATAACTTTTGCTGTGTCATACAAATTAAGTCTTATGATTATATCCACTGACAGAATGGACTGCACTTAAATCTTAGAAAGATCTTGTTTTGATATTTATATACTTTCTATTATGAGAATATCTTATGAGTCTTGCAAAGTGCATTTACTTTACTGCACTGGCAGATTATTGCATTTATTTTTAGTAGAATCCTATCAAAAGCAATCTTCTCGTGCTTAGTGCATCAATATTCACACGAGATCCCGATTAGATGGACAATTTTTTCAGCATGTAACTGATAACTGACTTGGACAGATTTAATCATTCAACTTTACACTTTACTTAAAAAATAAAAAATGCAGCTGCCTTAAAACTTTAGCCATACTAAGATACAACCAGGTTTTCATCATCATTATTTTTGTTCTGTGTCCCCAATAAAAACACTGGCCCCGCCCTTGCACCCCTGGTAAACTTTGTGTAGAACAGCCACTGTTTATATACCCAAACTTAACAGAAAGAAAGGATACGTTTTTTTCTGTTTTTTTTTTTTTAGTTTTTTTTTTCTGTCCATTAACTGTAGGACCCAAAGAGGATAGCTTAAATGCAAAAAGATATTAAATGTGGAGTCCCACAAGGTGCCGTGTAGGAGCCCAACCTTTCTATTTATTTGTCAAAAATGTGAGGTAATAATGAGGAACATCATGCAATTACAGGAGGAAATGTCAAGTCTTTTTTAAGTTTTATGTTGACATGGTTATGAACAACGGATGAAAGAAATCAATAATGGAGCAGGTTCCTGGATTACCATCGAATTCTGAGACCGATATATCATTTTAAAATGCATCCAATTTAGGAAATCTTTTTTAAAAAAAGTTAAAGGGAATCCTCTATTTTTCAGAAATTAATTTAACAGCCAATGTTAGCTCTCTTGAAACATATCTTTATCAGTCTGATAAGCAAAACTGGGTTAATTTGAACAACCTTTGTTTATTTCCATCAGTTTGTGTTTTTATTTCAGGGAAGAGGATGAGTCATGTGGAGTTAGTTTGGTCATGTGACAGTGATAGTAATGCAGCAAAGGCTTGTGGTCTCAACATTGTAGTCATTTTTTTTATGGTGTCAAAGGAGTAGGGACATACTGTATATATAGGATATAATATAACTGTAAATACTAGTTATTGGCAATAATGTAATCAGATATTAATATTGGACCAAATTTGCATTTCAGTGCATCCCTAGTGATTAATTATGAACATGCTTTTTTGTCAAAAAAAAAAAAAGAGAAAAAGCCTGGCTGAATTGGCTAAATCTGCTATTGGACATAATTAATGCTAAATAAACCAACACAATAAAACTGTGCTCTATTCCATTGTTTGAAAAAGATCGCCATGTCCTTTCAGTGAACGTTTAAATGGAACAAATATCTGTATTTCTATTGTGTAACCATAAGTGGAGCAGGTTAAACTAGATTTTTTCATTTTCTTCCTTCTCCAATTCAATTACAAAATTGTATATATTTGTGATTCAAATTTGACTTGAGCCTTAATTTTGTGAGGGAAGACTAATACAAGCAGAGTAAAAAAAAAAGGTAAGCTAAAGAAATAAATGTAATGATAATCTGCAAGAATCTGTGAGTAGATGTGCAACAGAGTTAAAATATATAAGGGCTTTTGCTAGGGTTGTCACGATACTAAACTTTTCAACTCGATACCGATACTAAGGAAAATATTTGATACTCGATACCATTTTCGATACCACAAGGATAAAATTTCAACAGAAATATTTTGATTAATAATTAAAATACAATAAATAAATAAATACAATAAACAATAAGAACAACATTTTGAGGTTGTATGCTGTGCACAATATGAAGCAAGCTCTATAAAAAACTTACAAAATTAAAATTAAGTGTTCCTTCCTTGGCTATGCTTTGCACACATAACAATGACACTAGCCAAACGGGTTAAGAAACAAAAATAATTCTCAGCAGCTGCACCTCTTACAAAAAAAGTCTGAAACTGAAAAGTGCACAGAATTATTCAATCACACAGTGTTCAGAAAGTGCATTGTCCTCTATTCTGCACTTTAGATGAATGACTGTTTAGGTGCGACTGGTACTCGATACTTTTGAAAATGAGTATTGTATCCGGATACAACGTTTCAGTATCGATACTTTTTTGAGTATCGATACTTTTGACAACCCTAGCTTTTGCCTTTTTTATTGTTTAGCCCTGTATCTCTACTAGACTTAGCTATGGGCTCAGCTTTTATGGTGACTACCTGTATGTGCTCTTTGTGCTCTTTGTTCATTCCTGGCTCAGAGCTTGTCTGCTAGACGGTTTCTTTCTAAGACAGATCGAGTTTTTTGTAAACTTTTCTAACATAGAACAAATTCCTGGATCAGTTCTTACATGTACCGTCTTCTTATATCCTCTGGAACCCTCAGTCTGCCTCAGTAAAGGCCGCTTAAGGCTGATTTATACTCAGAAACCAGGTCGTCTGCGTGTGTGTCGCAGTGAACGCGAATGTGCCGCAGACACTCTGCTGCACCTCTCCAAAGTTGTAGGTGACCGCAGACAGTGCCGCAGACAGGAGGCCTCTGATTGGTCAAATCTACATCCACTCTACACTATGCGTATTTCCTGTTTGGTACCTTACCGGCTTGTTTTGTTTGTATGACCACCATTGTGGAAAACGACTCGTGAAAATGGATCAGCTAGAAGAGCGAGATGCGTGAGAACGCTGGGACCCTTTTTCCACCCGAATCCCCGCTTTTTTTCGCCCTCATGTCCCTCCTTTGTCAGACTAACTTGCCCCCACTTCCTCACCGCCTCGGCCGTATCTAGAGCCAAAGCTAGTTCTTGATTGCCCCTCTTGTGTTGTGGTGCAGAATAACATAGCGGAGACCACGCTTCAGTATTGGGCATAAATCGAAAATTTCTGCAACTATCTCACTGTGACACACTGCTGTGGGAGTAAAACCAGCGCTTTACACTGGGCCTGGTTCTGCTGGAGGTTTGATCCTGTTTAGAGAGCTTTTTTTC